ACACCAGCCACAGAAAAGACTTCCAAAGACTGAAGGTCTCCTTCACTAATTGTCTTTAAGTCTATCAGTTACACCTATAGGTATAACTGAATAAATCAAGTGGATTATGCAGAGCTATATCCTGCGCCCAGTATTACTTAAATTTTTCATTAACAATCTCTGTGATAGAAGAAAATACATGCTTATGAAGTATGTAGAGAAAGCTTAGCTGGGTAGTTCTGCGAGCATGCTAAAGTGTAGGATCAAAACTCAACATGTTCTTAAAAAACTGAGGAACTGATCTGAAAATTACTGTTATTTAGGAAAAGGCAGCATAATAAATATGTTCCCAGTATTAATCTAACCTGGAGTCACACCACTTAAAATGAAAATTTTGAGATGCCTTCATCAATAACACTGAATCAAACTAGTTCCTGGTAACTTTTGCTAATGGATATTATAAAAGAATCAGGAATAATTATGAAACTTTATGTAATAATACAAGTTAATATAGTAATTTACAAACAATTCCACTGAGTGATACTCCAAGCTCTCAGAAAATGGACACTGATACAGTTCAGAGTCTCCAAAAATTTCACCACTGTTACTTAACATTTATGTAGTAGTGCCTAGTGATGTTGGTCAAGTCAGGCCCCCACTGTGCTAGACACTGTATAAACACAGAAAATGACAATCTTTGCTCCAAACAGCTCCTAGTAGAAAACCCCAAGCATTTAAGATGCAAAGCCCACAGACAGGAAAACCGCAGCCCATTCAGATATGTCTTCCCTTTACAACATAAAAAAAACTGCAGAGTAGCGCTTCGCCCTGATACAATAAATACATCCTGATCATTCAAACAGCTTGACGAGGAAAGGAATAAATGGCAAACAGGCTACTTTCTAACAGACGAGTGGTGGATGTGCCGCCACAACGCAGGCCAAAGCTCCTTGGGTCTCTGTCAATTCCAGAGGGACACACATCACGGGGCTTCTGTACGGCGTATAACCCGAGCGCGCTGGCTGGCGCTCGCCACGCCACATCTGGACTTTGTTAGACAACCTTCAGCTCCGGTCTCTTGCATCAGCCCTGGCCCCCTCTGGTGAAGCAGCCTCCCAACCGCTGCTTCTCCATGAACTACTCACGGAGACAAAGTGCTCTGGGAGGAAGTAAATTGGGACCACATTAGCTGGTGACCCTCGCCCTGCAACTGGCCTGCCTTTCTGATGACAGAGGAAATCCCTCATGTGAACTGACAACCAATATGAAACAGGCAGCTCCATTTACTGGACAGCCTGGTCAATGCCGAGTGCCTCATTAGGAAATGGTCTCTATAGTGGGGCACATTCCTGCAATTCAGAACCTAGAAACTCTAAATTAAAACAACATTGATGCCATATCCTGTTTCTGAAATGCCTCTCTTCATCCAAACTTTAATACGTATACTTAAAGAAATTAAAGAACAAAAATGTCTTTGGCAGGACTCCTTCCCTCTCTCGTGCAGTAATACCCTTCCTGTGTGAGTGTCCAGGAACGTGATGGTGTTGGGAAGGGAGAAAGGAGAATTAAAGCAAGGAATAACCAGAGTCCTCCAGAATCTGTACAACCTTTCCTTGATGAATCTATGTGTCTTCACTAATATTTTAAAATAAATAAAAATCACCTGAAATTACAGGGTTGCAGAAGTTGGAATTTTTTTTTTTTTTTTTTTTAAGAAGTAAATTGAGGTTCATCAGTAGAATGAGTTTTTTATCTTGGGGGAGAATTGTATCTTTCTACACTCTAAGAAAGGTCAATTAACAGTAAGCCAGTCTGCTAACAGTGGTAGTTATTGCAGCAACTCAATGACAACCAGCACAAGCAATGAAAAGGCATAACCTGAATCCTATCATAGATACTTGGATCCATTCATACTCACTATTGCAGCGTAGTCAGAAAACTGCTTTCCTAAAGCATTATCTCTGTCAGAGGCTCTTTCCAGTTTGAGATTCAGCAATCAGGCCTATGGTACCTACCACAGCATGCATAACTCTTCATTACAAACCACCCCCTTCTGATATTGCTCAGCATTTCTGTACATGGAAATGGGAATCTTTTAGTCAACTGTGCTTGCCAGCCAACTGAAAAAGCTGCTTTCCCACCACAAAGTCTGAGCATTTCCTAGAAATGGGATGGGCTGAAATACCAAATACTTATCAGGGAGCTCAACAGCTCTGAAACAACATTAAAGGCAGAAGGAAGGAATTACTGAGGTCAGGATTCCAGATCCGAATCTGAAGGGCTGAATAAAATTTTTAGGCTCCAGAACTCCTTTTCAAAGTCCTCCAGAAGATTTTGATTAACTGGCATCACTTGCCTTTCTTGAACAGCTGTGTTGAATACACCTGCAAGTCTGAAAAATTTTTCATTCACAATTTCTACTGTAAATTTAGGAATTACAGCTAAACTTTTAGGAAGTTCCTGAAATGCTATATAGTCCTGTGGAGCTAGCAAACACAGATGGACTTTTGTTCTCAAGATGTAGAAAAGAGTCCATGTAGAGAAAGCTTAAACTGATGAAACAGCACAGTTGTTTTGTTGAAAAATATGAGGCTGGCGACCTGTAATTACTGAAGAGGACCACAAGTACACAGATTATTTGCAAAGCATGTGGAAAAATTAGATTCCCTTTGACTATATCAGTAATGAGGATCCTGTAAAATCTCGCAGCCTTCTCTTCTGACCCACCTCCTATTTCTAGAGCCGTCAAAGTTGGCACAATTTGAATCGATGCAGAAAAAGTATGTATCAAAGCTACTGGTACTGAAAAAAGGCGATTTCAGATCCCCTGCAACTTATAGAGGTGGTGAGTATTACTGTCCCATGATAAGTAATTTTGAGGAGCTTTTCTTTCAATGTATTGAAAGCTGCACATAAAAAAGGATAAAAGATGATACCTCCTTAAGATGTAGGATAGGTTTTAGGGTGGATGTGTCAAATCTCTCTTAAGTCAAATAAATATTTATCAGGTATGGTTTAAATACAGTTTAGATTGCTTATATATAAACATATATTCTTCCTTAGAGATTGTGAATGCACTGGAGAATACCTTGCAGGCCTATTATTTGTGATTTTATATATATACTTATACTACTTATATATAGCTTCTATTAATAGTATTCATAGCACAGATGTGTTGAGGAGATTACTTCCTGCTTTCTTCATTTTTTTTTAAGATGACATTCTTAAACAATGAGGAGCCTTTGTAGGGAATGGCAGTTCTGGAACCAGAAACTTCAAAGGCATTTGGATATTCCAGTAAAATTTTTGAAAAGGACTATTGCTCCAACATCAGCTTAGAATTGATCCCACTTCATAGCAAGGACAATTTCAAATTAATCTCCTTTGCAATTTTAGTTTATTTGGGAAATTAAGTATCCCACACCAACACAGAAAAGCACTTAGAACGGGCATCCTTAAGGGAAATGGCCATGTCTTTTTAGGAACAGTGTATAATATTGCAAGACTTATCAGCACTGAAAAATAATATGAACTACAACAGTGTTAAAAAAATCACCTAACTGAAACTGAAGTCATTATAGATAATCACAACCTTAATACATAAATTAAATATACACAAATTTTCATCAGAAAAAAAACACCACAAAACACTAAAAATTGTTCCGTCTACTCACAAAGGATAATCAGAAAGAATTTGGAAAGGGCATGGAGCATGAAAATGCTAGAATTTAAACTCAGGACAACAAGAACTGACAATAAAATTCCAATTTCTCTTGGGATGAGTGGTAACATATATTAAGGCTGCTATACCTACAGACATGAGGAAAATAAGTACTTTACATTGCTGTAACCACTTCTGAATCCTGTTCTAGTAGGAGGTCATCTGGCTGACAAGTAATTACAACTGTTGCTCAAAAGTAATTAATACAAGACTGTAAACTATACTTCTTGCTTGTTTTGAAGCTGGTATAACAATCAAAATTACTGTTCTTAAATGAAACCTTAAATAACTGTTATCTTAAAAATACATGGCAAATAACCTACTTGTGTTTTCTAAGGAAGAAGCAAGGAAATTCCTTATCAGAAAGCAGACCTGGTTTTGTCTTACTGTCTTTGAAAGCAACAGAAATCATCTGGTTGACAGATGAAATGTTGCACATAAAACTTTATGAAGATCGAAACAGTGGCACTGAAGAAGTTGGTACTGGACCAGCAGCAGCATATGTGCTGTTACAGGGAATGTGACAAGGGAATAACTCAGAAAAACCTACCAGAAGTGCTGAAGTGAAAAATCTACACAGATTTTTCAGATCCTAAATCTGTTATTGCCAGGGATGCCTTTTGCTTCCTCTGTCTTTCATTGGCAATGTATTTTTCACATTGTATTCAATACTGAAACATAAGATTAAATGCTTGAATAGAAATACACTTCTTTTCTGATTGTTATGCCAACACAAAAAGATCTTAGAAATGGGAGAGGCCAGAAATAGGAAAGAACCAATCCTATAATTGGGATAATTGAGAACCTCCCAAATTCCACTCTAGTAGCTGGCATTCCCATAGGGTACTCCTGTCACAGATTAGAAATCACAGTAGAGACTGTGTGGTTTAACACATTCATATTTGAGCTTTACAGCAAGGAGATTTTTCTTCTATGTATGCTTCTTCCCTGACAAGGCAAATACAGACCAGCAAAAGAAGTATCACTACATTTCCCCGAATCTGTGGTTATTTGTGCCTGTAGAACATAATAACCAATGTCCTTTTCATTCACAGTTCCTATACATTCTACGACACATTAACTACTCAGGCAGTGACACAAAGAAACTTCCCTCAACATCGGGACTTCTTTCCCCACCATGTTTTACAGGCTTCATGAATGGCAGCTAGTTTGAAATAGTTATTTATGCACTTTCCACCCCAGCATATGACAGGATTATACATTATTAGCTCCATAAATCGAGATAATAATCTCACACCATATTATTAACTGGTTTCTTTCCTAGCCTGCCTCTACCCACCTGTTGCTTGAGCTGTTGCACAAGACGGTCTTTCTCTCGTTTTAGAGCAGCCACTTCATCTTGGGTCTTCTTCTTAGAGGATGAAAGTTCTAGCAGAGCAATATTGGCATCTTTTTCACTAATGGCAGCAAGAAGAGCTTCTTGTCTGAAAAAAACATATAAATACATTATTATTCTTCAAAACTTAGAGGAAGCCTCTATGAGGAGTTAAACATAACATAAATGCTGTAGCAGTGTGCAACTCTGAAAAGCAGTAATAAATGTTTGTCATGGTTTTATGTCTGTTGGTTGAACATGAAGTCAAGACCCACCCACCTCCCCCTAAATGACTGTGCTGATACCAAATTATTGCTTACAGGATAAGAAAAACATATAATAACATGTAATTATTCTGCACTCAGCTATTCAGTTTTTAATAACTACCATTCATTATTACTTTGAACATTTTCATTCCTTATAATGTTCTAAACATTTCCAGAACAGATTCTGAGAATACACGCACAAATACTGGACTAATCATAAGACTTCTGTGTTAAATTATATTAGGTTATACTGCTTATTCATGCAGCTATTTTAGAAGGAAGGTGGCATGTGACAAGTTTATTGAAATCACTTGAACAATACAGTGTATTCCCAGAAGGAAATGATGACACAGACACTTTTGTGCTACATGACAGATGTTGAAATAGATGCCTTCAAGGATGCTTGAGTTGTTATTTGACTTTTCTTGTGAGTAACCAATATAATGAGCTTGTTGGGTGTGTGTCCTAAGTAATTAAGACAAAGGTACGCCTGCCCTCATCACAAACCTTTTGTAGCCTTGCAGAAACTGGTGTAAGCAAGAACATTCTGTAGCAACATTTTGAGGTTCAAGCACTATAGTAACTAGATACAGAAACATAACCTTGCCATACTCTTTCCCAATAGCAAAAAACCTCTTACATAGTTGAGAAATATTTTACGGATACTGGGCAGAGAGGAGAAAAAGACAATAGCCCTGATCATAAAACAGCAGCTCTCAAATGAACTCAAAGAATTGCTCCAAGCTAGGGAAAACAACTATTTCTCTCTTTTGTCCTTAATTTTCACCTTCAGTTGGTATGGCCAAATCAGGATGTGCAACAGTACATAAAAGAAAACTTTGGCCCTATTGTCCAATATGGGTGGCTTTTCCCATCTCTTATCACCTTGCAAAGAAGGAATAAAATGAGGTCCTAACCATTTGTGGTGGTGTGAAAGATGGCATTGTGCAGGAGTGATGATGAAAAACAAACTCTGAATGCTACAGATTTCCTATCTACCTTTCATCTACAAATGTAGTTGCAAATGTAGTTAAAGTAGTAAAAATTCCAAATTCCCAAATATTCAACATTTTTACCTGCTCTAGTTTATAAACAAAAGCATATTAATATTGCTAATTTCAGAAAATGATTTTTAAAAAATAACCAAATGTGTTAAAATTATTCTGCTAATCATGTCAATAGTAATTATTATGCCAACTAGTAAATACACTGCTGTAATGCTTAGTCTTTTATTAAAGATTTAAGAAAAGTTATAGAACCTTAACATAAACTATTAAGATTGCTTTTAACTATACCAATATAAACTTTCTGTTTGTTGTCAAGATCTTTATTTAAAAAGACCTATCACAATCTCTTGACTTAGGATCACACTGCCAAACTGTTGAGGGTAGCTATGGCACAGAAAAAAAATCTACTTTTTCTAATTCACCTGTAACCACTCCTTCAGCCAAATTTATCTGTAGTAAACTAGCTTTCTCTTCTTTTTCCTGTATTTTATTTCTAAACAACCTAATTTAATCTTAGTTAGGAATTTGTAATTGTGACTAAAACAAAAATATTTGTTCCAGCAAAAACTCAGTAAGCTCTGTGTGAAAGAATACATGACTGAGAAAATTTGAGAACAGGACAAATGGACAATGCTTTTATTTAATATTGATGTTTTGAATATATGCATCTAATATACTGGACTTTTAAACTGAAGGCTTAAAAAGGGAAAGGACTGGTACTATTCGAATACAGAAATCTTTACCTGTTAAAATGCTGAAAGCTTTACAGATTTTATGACCTTGTTGAGCATGAAAAGATATATTTCATATTATAATGTTTCTGATGATGGAGAGTGAAACAGCTTCATCAGGTACTTCAGTGCTCAGATCAAGGGTGCAGGGAGATGCATACCTAAATATGCAGGATGCAGTCAGATAGCTTGCACTGGCTGCAGCTCTGCTGGACAAAGAACTTACTGTCTTGGATACTCAGTAATCCCTTCTCCAATCTGTAAGGATAACTGCGTATGTATTTGCTTAGTGACCTCGTTCTAAAAAGTCTGAACAATACTGTTTTGCCTCTTAAAAAAACCCTCAACACATTATTTTAATAGGGTGGGACCAGGAAGCGACTACACGTGCTGTCCTGCTGTCAGAGCTGAGAAGACGGCAGCCTCCGAGCCGCAGCTCAGGGCTACGACCTTTTAACTCAGCGCGGCAGCAGCCAGCACAGCACCTTCCCCGCAGGGTTACGTGGAAGGCATGCCATCTCCACAGCCCTGGAGCAGAAACCACCAGGTTCTGAGGTTGTTTCTCTCTGAGATTTGTATGGGCGAGACACATTTAAAAAGCTCTTGTTATTTTTTACAGATGGAAAAAAAAAAAAAAATACTGCTCTCACTTGAAAGGTGTGAAGCTTTGGTAAGATAATGGGCAAAAATTGACTCAGTGATGAGAAAGCCCATGACTATTTTCAGATGAGTGATAGCTGGGATGAAAGAAAACTTTTTCTTACACATTACGGGTTTAGGTGAGAAAAGGGTGACTGATGTATGACCTGGCTTTCTTCTGATCCTAGTCAGTGGCAGTGCTCTTAGAAATATTTATGCCAGTGAAAGCTTAAGACCTCTATCACTGCAGAGCAGAAGAAACTAGAACATAAGAAACCACACTGCTAAGACGTGCTATCTGTTCATCCCCTCAGCCACTCCAGTGATTGCCAGAGTTCTGCTGAAGCTTCCCATACGCAGAAGTTTGCTCTTATCAGGATCTCAACTGAAGCCATACAACCTGTATCAAAAAACGTGAGAGAACCATGTATTTCAAGAGGAAAAGGTGTGTTTCACAGCAGACAGAATTGTTCACCACCCGACAGCAGAATGGACTTGCACAATGGACTTCCTATGGGTGGAATTTATCTCGGGATTTATACAGGTGTTTCCTGTACACGCGAAGAGCTTAAGCTTGCTTTAAGCAGACTACTAGCATATCAAAAATCTGACAGATACAGTTTACAGAGTACTTAGATCCTGCCTAGATCACATCTAGAAAAACTAGCACCTTAAATTATTCCTTGTCCTTCACGACATGGTACCAGAAAGTTAGGCATTTTTTTTAGACACTTTAGGATAATCGAAATATACTCTAAATACATTTATGCTATGAAGAAATACAAAAATTCTGATGACTTAATGGAGACGGAGTATAAGAAAGGAAAAGGTGCACATTAGATTCCCAGTTGTAGTGTCAAGATTATAGGTGTGGGAATGACCAATAATGAGCGCATTATTATTGCCACTTTGTTTCTGTTGCTTTTGTTTTACAGAAAAGTATCCAGTTTTGGACGTCTGCCTGAAACATGAAAAATATCAATAGAGTGAAGTGACAGAACATGATCCATGACCTCTGCTTTTTTCTAGCTATCAGTATCCTGGGAAAGACAGGCTGGCTTGGAGCTCTGGTCATTTTCACTTTCTTTAGAGTAATCTGTTTTGATTCTAAAGAAACACTTATTCTTTTAATAGTAAACCCACAATCCTCACTGATGATTCAGGACCAGAGCCAAGAATATCTCTGTAACAGTATCTATATAGCCATTACTCTGGTATGGAAATTGGTGGTGCCTCAAATATCATGTAAAGCATACCTTCTGCCATCAGATCCTCTGCTGCCCATCTCTACTTCTTAAGTGAAAATTCCAGGACCAGGACAAGAAGTTATGGAGAGCAGCCCATTACTTATTTTTTGCTGAATAATCTTTGCCACCATGGCTTAGGAAAAAACCATTCTACTTCAAAGCTTCAGTGCTATATAATGTGTGGGACAGGGGTGCTGGTCAAGAAGCGGGGTGAAAGGCGTTGTGGATTTCTGGCTGTTTTCTGGAACTGAAACAAGATGAAGTTTGAATCAAAGTAAGAAAAATATCCTGTGATGTGGTAAATGCACTGTAACTGCATTTTTGAATTCTGCAAGCTAAACGTATACTGTTTCACATGGGAGAAGTGCAGGTGTCACTGTCAGCTCTGCTGAAAGGAGACATGGCTGTAATTGCATGCTACTGTCCTCAACAGAGCTTGGAATTGCTGAAATGATTCTAAAAGACCACAAAAAGCAAATATCGCCAAGCAAAAGACAAGGTTTGTGATTGAAGAGCAGTATGAAACGGACTCGTTTCCCTTCTTGAGAGCTGTTATCCCCAGGGAGACCAGAAGAACATGCTGTAAGACAGGTGAGGTGGCAAGGAGAAAATGGGCTGCTGTGTGAATGGTGCTAGTAGCACATGAACAAACCTATCTGTCAGGAGTACTGCAGTCAATCGTAGAGGCTCAGCTTCAGTTTCGGAAGCAGTCAGTGGTACAGGCTTAGCTTCTCAGCAAGCTGCGTGTCTTCAGTTCCCAACACTGGAGGTCCAAAATGTTCCAATAGACAGGCAAAACACATACTTGCTGCACAACCCAAGATGGTTGATCTTCTAAAATGCTAGCTAATGCCAGAGTCACGACATAAACACAGCTCACTAAGTTAGTCCAGCTATTTCAGATCGTGGTAGTAGTATAGCTGTGGCAACAGCAACTCAGCAGGGGGGAAACTGCCTATTTATCTTCCCATTTGGTCAGAATCTGTAGCCTGAACTGAGCTGAATACAGCTCACAAGAGGTAAGCAGACTTTAAAACAGACTGAATATTACCAAGAGAAGCCTGAAATGGCAATAGTGTAGAAAATGTAGTGAAAAGAGGTTTAGGATTAACTCTGAATTGGGCAAGAGGAGGATTTTTTTTTTTTCTCCTGTTTATGCAGAAGCCTTTCACTGAATGTAGATCATGATCACCACAGACTGGAGTGGTACCAAGACCAG